ATTTTACTGTAGAATGTAGTAAATGTAGATTTTGTAGGCAATCATGGTTTCCAATTTGCGCAGAGGAATGTCCAACAAACAGCTACGTATTCTTTATTAGTCCTTATAAAACGTCATATCACTGGCTGTCAAGAATCATCCAGGATGTGATGGTAAAAAGGCCTATTGCTGTCTTGGGCAGGGCAGAGGATGAACAGCAGTGTCGGCAAAACTTTCTCCAAACACACTCCCTCACTCCCCTGTGATGCCTGAGCCTGAGCTCACCGGCAGAAATGACCATGTGTGCTGCTGGGTGAAAGACAGATAACGCGAGTGGGAAAACGTGTGCTGTGAAACTTTGACTGAATTTTGTTTCACTTTGGAACAGTGGGCCATTGAATCTGAGAGAGCAGAATCTTTTACTGCCAACTTTAGTTTACAAGAAGAAACTTTGATTTCTATCAGATATCGAGGCTGATGGCGTCAAGGATAATTTGGAGTAACAGTGCTGTCATTCTGTGTACGTGGTTGATGGGCTGTATCAGGAACAAGATTTGCAGCGGACGAAAGGCATTGATTATGTAGCTGGGCTGGTTTTTGGTGCGGGGAGCAGTGTTCTAAACATCAATGTTATCTCATCAACTATCACCCTGGCTACCTGCATAGCATTCCTGTTTCTAAAAGCTTTCTATTTGAGCAGCATTGTTTTCATCAACTCTTTCCTGTCATGGTTTTATCCTTTCCCAAAAAGTATCACTGCATCTTTTATTTAAGGAGAGTTCTTCACATGAAGTAAGGGTTTTGTTGACGATTACAACACAGCCTCTCCCTGTTGTATGACTATGTGCTTAGACAATGCACTGTTGTTAGTGGAGGGAACATTCAGACTGCAGACCTGAATGCCAAATGCCATTGTTTAATCCACATAGACACCTTTGTATAAAACTGCATAATGAATGCTCTTTTTTAGTTACTGTCTGGATTTTAGCTGTAAAAAACGACCTCCCAACCTGCAGAAAGTTGAGGACTCCTTCTGTGTGCCATAGTTGTTGTCTACCACCTGGGCGCACCTTCAAGATGTCCGTGTATGTGGAGCCTTTTTCAACTGGGTCAGCCTGTAATTATTTAGTACATAGGACAATCTCAATATCTGTGACATTTGGGACTTGTGTGAATGCAAAAGTTGCATTTACCATTCAGTACAATCTGTATCAAACTCCAGTTTTAAAATACTTGCAGGTATTTTATTTTATTTGGTTTGTTTTGTTACAAGAATTTCTAGGTGAAAATGTTTGATTCCTTGAAGGAGGATCTCAATAAGTTCAGGTTTCTATATATCTCAATCTCTTGTGATGTATAGAAACTTTAGTTTTCACTAACTTTATTTTTCAACTTCCTAACTCTAGTGACTTTCTTGAAGATGTTTGCAGGTGACCCTGCTCCTTTCCATATAAATGCTGTTGAGGAATATCCCAGTGTGGTACTGAGCTACACAGACCAGAGTCGTCTCGGGTTCAGTCCTGAGTTTGTGATACATTAGCTGCTCATAGCCAGGTTAGCAATGGAGGCCTCATGTGGGGAGGAGGAAAATAACACTGGCTTTTCCCTCTAACTATCCAGTGATCTGTGGGGAAATTATGTCCAAGGTTAGGATGATATGCATTATTCAGGCTCACACTTGAAGAATGGCCACTTGAATGTGGCGCTATATAATAACTAGTACCATAACCTGCATTGGCTTCAGGAGAGAGGTTAAAAAAAAGGCTTGCTTTGTAAAATTCTGTGATTTTTGAGATTTCTTTAATATTAAGACATTGTTATCAAGGAATTTAAACTCGACTGAGTCAAAGTATGATATTCTCAGGGTCATTACTTTGATTTTTATATCAAAGCTAAAATCAAACACACCTTCTTTTCCAAAAATCAATAGCTTTAGATCTTTGAAATGTTAAGAGCAGGTCGGACTTTTCTAATTCTTTAAAAGAAGTTGGGAGTTTCACTTAAATAAAATAGCTTCACTAAAACGTGGAAAGAATTTCACTAAAATTGATCATGCCAGCTGGAACAAATAAGTGGATCACTATCCCTTTAAGAAATCTGCCCTGGACAGCCCTTTCCCTACCCTGCTGTATAAGACATCAATCTGTATCACTCCTTCAGCTTGAGACCTACTGAATCATTATGATGGGTTGAGAGTAAAGGGAGAGAGGAACGGGTTTGGATACAGATAATATATTTTATTGCAGATTCAATTTCCTCTCATGGTTCCTGATATGTTTATGTCTGGGTATAATTTACAACTGCTGATGTGTACCACACAGTAAAGGTTGGAAAACACATTACGTAAACAGTGCTTTTGTCCCTAAAGCTCTTTAAAGAGAGGCTCTTCATAAAGCCCCTTTAAAAATCGCTGTCATCATTCCTATCCTGAAAAAACCCTCCCTGGACCCTTCTCTACTCTCTAACTACTGCCCCATCTCCAACCTCCCCTTCCTCTCCAAGGTCCTAGAACGAGTTGTTGCCTCTCAGCTTTGCTCCTTCCTCTCCCGCCACTCCCTTCTCGAACCACTCCAATCGGGCTTCCGTGCCGCCCACAGCACAGAAACCGCCCTGGTCAAAGTGACAAATGACATTCTGTTCATCTGCGACCTGAGCTCCCTCTGCCTCCCTGTCCTCCTTGACCTCTGCTGCTTTCGACACCGTCGACCACTCTATCCGCTAGCTCCCGGACCGTCTCCTGTGGCGTTCCTCAGGGCTCTGTCTTCGGTCCCCTCCTCTTCAATATCTATATGCTCCTTCTTGGTGACATCATCCGCAGACATGGAGTCAACTTCCATATGTATGCGGATGACACCCAACTCTATCTCTCTGCCTCCACCCTTGACTCCAAGACCACTGTTGTGCTGACAGAATGTCCATCAGACATCAAGTCCTGGATGAGAGCTAACTTTCTTTAGTTGAACGTCAACAAGACCGAGGCTCTCCTGATTGGCTCCTGTCAGCGCCTCCACACCTCAGGCGCTGACAGCATCACCATCCATGTTTGCACACTCCACCTTGCTAAGCCAATCTGGAACATTGGGGTCTTGTTCGAACCTCAATATCCTTTCTACCCCACATTCACATCATGACCCTCTCTGCTTTCCCCCACCTCTGCAATGTTACCCGGCTCCAACACTGTCTCACACCACAGGCCACTGAAACCCTCATGCACTCCTTCATTACATCGAGGCTTGACTACGCAAACTCATTGCTTGTCGGCCTCCCCAACTCTTCCCTCCACAGACCGCAGATCATTCAGAACTTTGCAGCCCGTGTCCTCTCCCGCACCAGGCTCCGAGACCCTATCACCCCCATCCTCACCTGACTCAACAACAAGAAGATTCCATTATAGAGCGCCTTTCACGTCGGGAGGACGTCCCAAGGCGCTGGCTTCCCATCACACAGAGGATACATTTCAAGATCCTGGTCCTCACCTTCAAAGCCCTCCATGGTCTTGCTCCCCCTATCTCTGTGACTTCCTAACTCCCTACCACCCTGTTCGCTCCTTTCGCTCAGCAGTCTCCGGCCTGCTTCACCTCCCCCGCCTCGCTATCGGCAGGCGGGCCTTCCGCCACTCTGCCCACACCCTCTGGAACTCCATCCCGCAGTCCCTCCATCTCGTCCCCTCCCTCGCCACCTTAAAGACCCACCTCAAGACCCTTCTCTTTGACCGTGCTTTTGATCTCCTTGCCCCCCCGCCCTCCCCCCTCCTGACCCCAGCTTGGGTCCGTAACTCTATCTGTCCAGCGCCTTGGGACGTCCTCCCGATGTGAAAGGCGCTACACAAGTGTAATTTTGCTGTTGTTGTTGTTTATCACATATATACTGTCTGATCTTTTCCCCCATTCCTCTTGTCATGTCAAGACTTGACTTGACTGTCAATCATTTTAAATACCATCTCACATATAATAAAAGTTGCCCTGTATAACGCATCCAGTTAATGAACACTCACAATGATATAGGAATGTTTTCCAAAGGATACACAGCTGGAGTTAATGTGCAACAAATACATATTAACACTCTTTCCAAACGCAAACTCCGCACAACACACGTGAGATAATCAGATATAATTGACATATTTTGAATATGTGAGCATTATTTTTTCTGACATATTTTCTCATCTTCTCCTAACAGCATTTTTGTGATGTACGGTTCCATGTGTGCCTGTTGTCCTTCGTTAGCTTTACCATCCCTGGCAAAGTGGATATTATTCATGTGCAAGCCTTAACAGAGAGCTCTTTGACTACACAGGTGACTGCGGAGGGAGGGGGGGCGGGGGTGTACACATCTGCTCCTCCAGAATGGATTGCCGTTAGTGATCGGGAGCAGGAAATCTGGCTTATATTTTCCCAGTTCACAATCCTGGCTTACTTTCCCTTTTTGTATGTCAAGTGCGCTGAGGAGAACCCAAGCTACTGTGCAGGACAAAAACTATCAATTTGCACCCTTGAAACACTCTACTCACAAACCCTCCTCCCCATAGCAAGTGAAATCTACCCATTGAGATTAGCTGTGTTGAAATAATAGTTAATCAAATCAGGCATCTAGATATGGACGAGAGTCAAATATTTTACTGCAACAGCTGCTGGCTTCCTAACAGGATTTCTGAAGTTTTCTACATTTGCTTGTAAATCATATTAAAAGTAATTGTTTGCTTTAGGTTGCACTGTGTTGCCGGTCTTAATACTGGAAACCAGTTTTGTTGGGCCCATGGGTTGATTAACTCTGCTTGAGAAGGGGCTCATTGTCTTGTGCACCTGCAGTCGTGTTTGTGAGCAGTCAGTCAACATGCAGCTGAAGGAGTTAGAGAAACAGGCTCTAAGAAGCAGGCTTTTTCCTGAAGAAAAACATTTGCAGGAAAAACAAAGGTTTCAATATTCATAAAGTGTAAAATGTCAGCATGGTGAGTGAGTGTTCATGCATTGGCCACGTCTCTTAAAACAGCAAGACAGAACTACAGACAAAGAGTGTCTCATATGTATCTTAAAAATCTAATTTATTAAAATAACGTGTGAACGCTTTGGAGTTCAATCGTCATCCTGCAAAATTGTACAACACTTTGAACATTGTGCAATAAGGGTGTTAATAGCATAATTGAAAAGGGCCACAATGAAAGCAAGCACAATTCACAATTCATACAGCACAGCTAGAATAAGGTGTAAAATCATTTGGCAATACTCTAACCCCTTAAATGTTAGCCTTGATAGCAATCAAATAACATACAGAGAAACTACAAAGCACATTCAATAAGGGGCTCAATACAAGGTACACAACTACTGGTTACAAATAATTATCTTATCCTATTTGTGTTTTATTTGTACATGTTTCTTATATATGCATCCAGTACACACACAATACAAGTGAATACTCAAAGTAAAAAGACATTTAGCTGTTATACGCATATAAAAAAATTAACACTAAAAACCACAGTTTCTTGTTTCGTGAAGTGTAAATGGCAAGTTTAATTTAGTGGAACAAAAAACATTAGGTATTTAGAAGGCTTTGAACAACAGAGCTGGTGTGCACAAAGTAGGTTTTGCTGCTGCCATTTTGAAAAATGTTCCTCACGCCACCTAGATGTCTCTCTTCATTGTAAGGCGCGGTACCGGCATTTAAGTGATTTATGGCATATAGGGCATTTAGCTAGTTCATGGTATGTCTTAAATTATACTCCTTAATAAGAAATCTGGGTCACAGAAATCTTTCCAGTACCCACAAGTACATTACTGCAGCTTGGAACTGTGCTTCCAGAGTAGAGTTCCTGGGAATCTCCCTTTAGAAATACCGCAATTTTGACCTCACAGAATTAATAAAATATTTACCTGTTGCAACTGATGAAATATACAATAATGGGCTGATCAGAAACATTTGATGTAAATATTTTCATTCACCAGAAAGTTATGAGAAATAAAGAGAAATTCTCCTACAGTACAAATGAATGATGATTTGTGCCTTTTTGGTCTATGAAAAAACATGAATTGTGTTTGGCTCAGGGCTTGGCACTGTTCACACTCAAGCAAATGCTTGAATTGGTGGAGGATAACATCCTTCTGCTCTCATTCTTGTGCAGAGAAGACAGTAATTGGCATGAATTAGACCTAACCATCGGATGTTTAGGTTAAGACTCTTAAACTAATCAGGCAAGTGGACAAATAAAAATTAAAAATCCTTTTCTGAAGGCGTCAGGCTGAGAAGTGTTGGTGTGGGTCACTGCAGTGCTGTGCACGCCCTCAAACAGCAGTGGGGAGGGGCTGACTCTTACACCTGTTTGGCATGTGTGCAGTCTTCAACAAAATCCTCCAGATCATGGGAGCCATTTAAGTGGGTTTAACATAGTAAAATTCATTTTAAGCTCATCGCCAAGGTCAATAAATGTACCAGTGTGGAAATTGGACCACCTATCCCACTGAGGTTGTAAAACAATCAGAATCACGCCTGGATCTGCACATAAGGGCTTATAGCTTCTCTTTTCTAAGTTTACCATGTACAGCTAATCCTTGTGTGCATTGTTGACTAACTCCAGCAGCACACACTCTTATTCATTCTTTGTTGATATCACATTGTATACTCCAGGCCTTCAGTCACAGATTAAGAATAAACTGGGAGGTGCAACCTGAAACAATTTCTCTGTAGTGCTGAGGATACTGCTTCACACTGATTATACAAGTGGCTTAAAATCTTCAATATGTAGTCTGCTTCAAGGAACCATGTTTCCTGTAACTACTTTAAGATTACAGGTTGAACACAGGCACTGAAGTGCACGTGACTTCTGTAGGATTATTTTGAAATAGTTTGCTGCAGATTAAATCTTAGTGAAAAAAAAGTATATTCTTCTCCTGTAAAGCCATGATAAATTGGTTTAGGGATTAAATATATACCCTAAGAATCTTTTACATTTATATTAACCAGGAAAAATAAAGTCTCTGACACGTGCTATGATTATTAAGGACTGACCGTAAGGAACAATGAGATGTTACCTGTTACTGTTGAACATACTGAGGTCTAATCCTCGCTTATTGAGACATCGCAGTACAAACTGTTCCGAAGGATTTAAATATTGCTCTTTGTTTTCTGCTGTTTGACCTGGTTATTGTAGTTCCTTGGTGCTGTGAAACATTGCTTCACCTGGCAGGCTAAACCTGCACTGAGGGTGATGAAATTTGAATGTCATTTAAGATGTAGATTCAAATTCAGGGTATCCAATTCAGGGACTCTACAACACCTAATGAGCTGTGGGAATTGAAAAAATAGTGATCGAAGTTCCTTGTTCATTTATCTGAAGTACCATACAGACACTTAAGAGTTAAATCTACAACTGCGCAGAAAACCAGAATATAGAAAATCCGTTCAGCCCACCCTTCCAAAACAGACCATACCCGTGAGGATGGTGGTAGTTTTTCACACAGTGAGTTAAATAAACAGGCTCTGAGGAACACAGAGAGGTGGGTGGGTTTTGTTGGAATGGATGTTCCAGAGAACTATAGAAAATAACGTTTTTCATTCCTTCCGATCAGGTTTTTCACACTGAAACTTTGGAGTAGATGATTGTAATCCTCTCCCGCCCACCCCAGCCTAAATTATAAATTATAAAACTGCTTTTGAAAAAAGTTATTGTGTCCACACATTGGCAATGTTGCTGTTCAGCATGGATTCAGATGACCCTGCACTGTATAATACATATTATTGGGCAAATAACTGCTTATTGCAGTTGTAATCACTGCCTAGTTCAGTGTGGTCTCACTAGTGATCTTACTGTTCATTTCAACAGTATATGGAGGAAATGTGTGTTACGTTTTCAATCGTTCCTGTCAAACTATAGCTGCTGCTGCCAATGAGGGAGCGAACTAGCTCTCGGGCAGAGAGACCACTAATGATGGTGGTCCTGATGTATCAATACAGAAGAAACAGAGGTGATTCTCAAGAGATGTTATTTCGCAATAGGATAGTTTAAAGAGGTTCCCACAGAGGATATTTTCTAATGGGGAAGAGCACATTGCTTTCTTCATAGGTGACGAACAAAGGCCCCAAAGATTAATGAAAAATTTGCTGTAACGCACAGCAAAATAAAGTCAACCTGCAAACATTCAACAAGTGTAACCTCTATTTAGATGGGTGCGGATGAGAACAAAAATTCCATAGAATTATAGATTGGCTTGCTGAAAGTTCGAGATTAATTTTTGGAGGAATTAAGTTTGAATAAAGAATAGGCCAAATAGGCCAATCCTGAACTATCTGAAAGCTGACGAGAGGGTAAGAAGTAATGCTTACTGGTTTTACTAGTAATGCTGGTTTTCCTTGAAGGAAGCACAGTGACAAATTTACTTGCTGGTTTAAAAGGATGTTTGGTAAGTTTGCACAGAACAGTACCATGTTTCAATCCCACGTTGTATGGATGGGATTGACTGGTAGCCTGACTAGATCGATGCCTTTTATAAAATGCTCAATAAGAGGGTGAGACCTTTCTGAAGAGGCATTGAAGTCTTGGTGAAAAGCTGCCACTCTCGATTTATACAGAGCCGGATGGAATGGTCTTCAATGCGGATTCATTAAGTCGTCCCTGAAGGCACAACAGGACATTAAGTAGAGAACAGATTGTCAAGTCAACAGATCATTCACAGCACCAAGTATTGATTTGCTTTTTTTAAAAAAAACTAGTTGAATGACAATTAGTAGGAATGATTGTGTTGACAAATGAGTCTGAGAGCTCAGATTGGTGTTCAACCATCAAAATGTGAAACGCAAATGGTTTGGCTTCAGATCACTTGGGTTTCGGAGAAAGGATCAAATTCTTGAGAAACCTCTGATAATAGGAGTTTCAGGATCTACAAATGTTCTCCAGGAACAGTACAGGACTAAACCTGAGATACACGTTTGATCGTCACCTGTTTTTCAACCAGAGAAATCCAATGTTTGGCTACAATTGCGATGTTTTCTGTTTAATGAAGGATCTGTAAATGGATCAAGACTGTCTTTCTGTGCTCATTTAAGATGAATACAGTCATTCAGGCTCCATATCTAGAAGTGAACTTTGTATCAAAGGTACTGTAAGAAACTCCAAAAGTGCATGATGTTTATTCTTTTGACATGACCAGCAGCTAATGAGCAAAATGTACTCCTCATTTTCTGGGGGGAATGATCATTTTTAACAATGAACAGGAATTCCTGAAAAACTTGAGCATCATTGTAGGTGGTGATGGAAAGTGTGATCAAGTATTACTTAGAAGCAGACACCAGGATGAAAGTAAGAACAATTGTTGACCTCAGTGATAGGAGGGTCTTTGGAGAACTTGAATCTCCTTAGAGATGCCAAATAAGTCTTGTAACTGGCACTTATGTGTCTGAAAGCTCCCGTTTGCATGAATTCAAAGCCAAATTAACCCACTCTTCAGCTTTGTTCTCTGGGAGGTGCAAAAAAGTGTCTTGATCTGGCTGAGTTGGTCACTCTCACCTTTGAGTTTGAAAGTGTAGGTTCAAGGCTCAGGTCAGAAGTTGAACTTCTAGTCCAGGGTCAAAAAAACTCTGCCTCAATGTAAAACTGCACAGCAACATAGATGGGGCCTCATACTGGTAAAAGCACTTTGGGATGTAAAGTACATCCCCTCTGGGAGTTTCAGGTATGTCACGTTTAGGCTCTGGGGTCCTTTATATGGGATTCTTTGGAAAAGAAGCACTTTATGTCTTGAGATTTTCTGGTACAGAGTCATTTGCGTTATCATTATACCAACAAGAGCTTTTACAACTCTACTGATTAGGACATGAAGATAAATAGTGCTGGCAAACTGAACTTTCATAACGAAATTCACAAGTAGGTGTGAAACAGAGGTTAGGCATTAGGGAAAGAAGCAGTCTAACTTGTTTGTTCAAGTCTTGTAATACCCAACACTAATAGCACAATTGTCTGCAAAATGCTCATACTTGAATGGACAATCACACAATCACAAGAGCTTGTTGCGGGAGTTTGAAACTGGTCTACTCATGTGACAGAAGACAATCACTATTTCAGCCGAACAAGGAGTAAACACTACACAGTATCTGTGAAGAGCAAAATAATGAAAACAGGGGAAATAACCTTTTCCTATTGCACAAAGACAATTTTACTGAGGAATGTCAAGAACCACCAGACGATTTCTGGAAGAGCACATTCTGACCAAATGTAAAGGAACAGAATAAAAGTGATGGTCATTCTCATGGATGGTGATGGAACAATTTTGAATGTCATTATCAAAACTTCAGGAGCCAGGGATACCCCAGTATTTTTTCCAAAAAATTCTGCTTTTGAAGCTCTGTACTATGCATCGTTCCTGCACAACGGAGGAATCAAAACTTTCCCTGAACTCTGTTTCAATGTCACTCTTCAGTGACATGCATGAGAAGGCGGTTTGAGGTAAGCTTCCATCTCTGATATTCCCTCACTCCCATTGAGGAGCAGTCTGGGAGCATTCAGAGCCTTGCTCTGGATTGATTTTAGAAACTGATCCAAGAAATTATGTGATAAAACACATATCCCAGCACTCTAAGCTACTGCATATTATAGCACCACTCAAGTGTAGATTTAACTCATGCGTAAGGAAGTCTGACTCAAGGATATAACTGACCATCGACCTCACTGGGCAGGAAAGTTTAGCGCTGACCTCTAAACATGAACCTTTATCCATGAAGGTGGGACACAAATTATCTTTCAGGTTTGCGTTTCTTTAGGGAGAATCTGAATTTGTTGGGTGCTTGGGGAAAAAATTATTTCTCTCAGGAATCTTTGTCCAACTTCTTTTTGCATTGTTCAAAGCTTAATCGTTTATTGTAGCTATATGTCTCTCCAGAGTGATTCTCGTTCAACACGTGCCTCTGGCATCGCTAAGGAAATATAGTAATTGCTCAGATATAAATAATAATAGGTAACAAAAGACTTTGCTGTGCTTTTTTTAAATATTAAAAAAGGTAGTCAAAAGAAAGTTAAAAAGAGAGAATAAGCACAGGTGGCATATAGCTGCGGGATTTATGTGTGACACAATTTGTAGCCCATCAGACACTGCATGATGTTGCTTCAACAAAGCTGCGCTCAGGCACTTTGTTCCCATTGCACTACCGTGTTCTCAAATACCTTTGATTTGTTAATGTAAAAAAAATGTCTGTATCTATACTGCTGCTCACTCAGATGACTGTAAATAGTGTTTGATCACATTTTCTAACGAAACTTAACGGTGGCACTGATGAGAGCATTTGGCAAGACAGAAGTTTCTAAAAAAAAAGATTTTATTATAATTATGGCAGACTTAACTAACGCTTAACAGCTGGGTATAAAAGGCATCAAATCAAGGCAGCTGAAAGAACAATGCACACACAACCTGCTTAGAGATGTTAAACCGTGGTCTTGACAAATGCAACACTTGTCTTTCAGATCATGTGTTTTTGTTTTAAAAAAAAGCTTGTGGTTTCTTAAATTTTCCAATGCTTCAATATATAGATCACTGTTGGCATTTGATAGTTTTTGGCACACGACTGCAATTGCAATGCTCAGGAGGTTTGCTGTAATGAAAAGGGATATAAGAGGGCCCGCAGTTCATTTGACACATGTTCAGATATTTCTTACTTAAATCTTTGCTTTGGTTTCTAACTGACAATACCAGGAATTTTATTGAACTGCAGCTGCTGCTGATATCTCACTGAGCAAATCCTACTCATTACTCTAAATGGAAAGTGCATACCTGTGGTGGTAGTAATGTGCTGCAAATAGTTAGGTCAGAAGTTTAGAATAAAGGGGGAAAAAAGAATAAACATGATTTCTAGGACAATATAATGGAAATGATATGCAAATACTGAATTGACGTAACGTTGAATTCCTTCAAATAAACCAGGGATTGGTAATCTGAACTCTTAAACAGTAGCCATCCACTCACATGGATATAAAAGTGAGCATCTGCATTATGTCTTGCTGGGTGTTTTACCCATCTCAATTGAAGGAAAGCACGTTATGCTCACATGGGTGGAAAGAACATTTTGGTCAATTTAATTTATCTATAACGAGTTTCTGATGGGATTTTTGGAAACCTCTGGTGTTGCTTTTGAAGGAACTAAATATTTGCATCTGCCGAACACTTTTCATGGGATTTTCAAATTCATGTAATACTACTTAGCCCAGAAGACTTTTGAAGCAGCTGCTGGACCATACTTGAGTATTTCTTTTGGTTAGGTTACAACAACCAGGTCTTATTAATAAAAGCAGATGAAGAAAGAAGAAATAAAGCATTGATTATTTACATCAGTTTCCCTTGGCAAGTACTTTGGTAGTGTAAATACGGAACTTAAAGGCAGGGCAAGAAAACTACACCACTACACTAGCACATAGCAAATTGCCAAGAACAATAAAAATGAACAATGTGACATTTAAAAATGCAATGGAAGCGGTCACTTGCTTCCCTTCATCTAATGTGTTATTGCCCAAACTGTATTATCATCTTCCAAATGCATACTCTTTACACATACATTTTATATTTTTTTAAAATTTTTGGCAAAAACATTATCTTTGCCGAGTTAGTTTTTTTTAAACCTAAGATCTTAATATTACAATCAGAAAATCTATCGTAAAAGTCCAAAGTAACAATCTTTCTCATTGCTCTTCCCCTTAATATCTTCTTTCCTTCATTTCCAGAAACATGTTTTAGTTGACAAACAAACAGAATCCAACTTTTTTCCTAATTTTTTTTAAAACACATTTCCACAGCAGTCCTGCATTTCAGAAGCTGCATTTGCTTCTCAAGGTCTGATTACCAGTACAAATTCGTGGCAGGTCCTCTGATGCTGTGGTCAGTCTGCGAAAGGGCGGCTGGCAGGAGCTATAGGATGATGCAAGGTTTTTTATCCTTGAAGGGGTTTTCAGAAGCTGGGACTCCGATCAGCAATGGGTCATTCCGTGCATGCTGTTCGCAGTAGTTCATCAAATCTACAGCTGCCTTTGATACCTGTCAAGGTTAAAGAGTCATCAGTGGCATTGAATACCCGTAGTAATGATGCAAATAAAAGGAACAGAAACATGGTCTGCCTGCAATGTTTTGCACACTACATTCTGCAGCCTTCACCTCATGTTTTTATACCACAAAACCGTTGCCTTCTTAACAAATTTGTTTTCTAAAGCAATTACCTCATTTAGTTCCTCACTAGTATTTGGGATAACGTGATTAAAATTGCATAACAGGATTATTCTAATAAATTCTAATAAATCTGTAGTTTATTTTTCTGAAAAATGCTCTGCAGCCTTTTCATGATGATAGCAATAAATCTGAAAAGGAAGATGAACACAAATTGTTTTTATTTAGCTTTTCAATAGTCACTCAGATTCACTACGACTTTCTAAAGGTGCAGAAAAGAAATGTCTTACTATGAAAAATAAGGGATTTATAAATTAACATATCATCATAACAGACTCTATTTAATGCAATTAACTAAATGCAAGATTGCTTTGAGGCTCCAAATTTCATAGATACCATTGATGACCTTGAAATAGGAAGTTTCTAATAAATTGATGGTTCAAAAATACATTCTTTATGAAACATTCTTATACAGTAAACTCTAGATAACTCACCATTCCAAGGGAAAAGGGCTCAGTGATGATGGTGAGTTAGCCACATGTGTAAATATATAAACAAATGCACAGAGGATATTGCCAGCTAGATGACTTGCGTAGTAGTGACACGTTAAGCCAGTGTCGAGTTATCAGAAGTTTACTATAGTAGTGCCTTTATATGTGTTTAAGGGAATTTAAAAAGACTGTATTTTAAAACAGGCCTAATAGTTTTAATAGTTTATTGTCACATGCACTATGGATGCTTGATAGCCCCACCTCCATCGCCTATTCTTGCTTTCTCTCAACGGAGCTCCAGTTTCAGGGAGAAACTGAAAATCTAAGAACTATTGTACGTTGGAATGACTGGAACAGCAACCAGTGAGCCAGCCAATCCAGTGCTACACTGCTCACTTCTCAATATCCCCTCTCCAAGCCCACTCCCTCCCGAAAACGCTATTAATTTGAATAACATAGCCATAGCCTGAAAAATACACATTTTTTTTCCATGCACACAGCAATGTAGGAAATGCATTGTTTTCTTCTCAATTTGGTATGTTATGAAACAATTCAAGGAAATGTAAAGAAACCAATGAACAATCCGGCATTGACTGAGTTCTCTTAATAATCTTAACAGCAATATCTTTATTTTGAAGTGGAAATAAAAGTAAAACATTAAGAACATTTTCACTGACGCTTTTGTGGAAGAGAACACAACACAATTCGAACAAATACAGTTACACGATGATAGCACCATAGAAGGACATAGAGGAAAGAAGTAAAAAGATAAAAATCCTCTTGTTCATTATCTTTTCACGACATCTGCATTAAGCGATGTTCAGCCAGTCAGCCCCAATTGAATAAAATCAATTCACTGCACCTGTTATCTGTTCCTTTTGCCGAGCATGCATTACTGTGTAAACAGACAAGTGACCTAAAGGGCTTGATGTTTGTTTGCTTGGATGCAAAGGTTAAAGGAAGGAGTGAAGCTGTTCTCTATGCCGTATTTACTTTTCAGCAATAATTTTACTTTTTGACTATGTTCAGCACTATATCTAAAGATGCCTTGTGGCTTCCCATACATCAGGATGGTCCAACCTTTTGGCTGCTGAGGGCCTGATGCCGTATTTGACAAACATCCATGGGGCGCATAAGCAACATTTTATCCTGATTGGCTAGTCCCGTTGCTGGATGGAGCCTAAGCCCCTGGTGACTGTCTCTTGATTGGCTCGGGGCCTGCATATCGTCTGCATTTACTCGTAGGACAGTGACGTGGGAAATGATTCACGGGCCGGATGAGACCATCCCCCAGGCTGGAGTTGGGACAACTTGCCACACATTAATAGTTATTCTTTAGAGGCATCAGTGTAGTATCCCTGCAAGCCAAAGCCCTAATGGGTAGGGTGGACCTAGCTGGACAAGCAGCGGGAAAGTTTGCCAGACAGTAATATCAATGGCAAGCTATGTGGGATTAGCTGGTTAGACTCCAGCAGTTCTGCAATGCATACTCTGAGGTCCCCAAGCCTTGCCTCTTGGCCTAATACTTTCCTGCATTAGGTCAGCAGGATGCATCCCTCCAGGGAGAGAGTGCGCATTCCATTCCAACAATCTATCTCTGGAATTTCCATGTGTAGGATGCATTGAATTCTCAGTTTGGATACTCTTAAGCATGTGATGGGTTTCCGCATGTGTCAGACACCCATCTCACCCAAAAATCTATATATATGAAGCACTCTGTCAGTTACCCCATCTTCTGAATGGCTTTATTCACCAGGAGACTAATCCGTACTTGATGATCAGAAATAGCTCTGTTCTCCAGTGGAACCAAAAGGAAATGGTCACAATCAAAGGATAGATAATGTGCAGTGTATCTTTCTCTAAGAGGAATATAAACAATGAACAGAAGAGTAGAATGAGAATTCTCTGCTCAATATGTACACAGTTTCATGCAGTACTTTTTTCAGGAATTGGACCATCTCAAAAACACAGCACAGCCGGGAATCTGTATCTGAGAACTTTATGACTCACTCAGCTCAAGAGTACATTAATGCAAGCACTTAAACATTGGGCCATCAACAAAGATTTTAAAGATTTTACACAGGACTATGTAGAGGAATGAGAATGGTTGGTCTATGTTTGCTAGTCTCTATGAATCATACAATTCCTTGATCAGGTTGACAAGTGCCTTTCCAGCTGCTACTTGTGTCCTGAAGTATCTGGACACCTTGTTGTGATTCGCATGCCCCTTCCCTCTGAGATAAGCTAGGGTACAGTTTTACAGGTTCAGATCATCTCCCGATGCCTCTTTCATGTGAGAGACTAAACAAGTGTTGGCATCACAGTTTAACTCAATCCTGTAATCCTCCAACAACATCCACAGAGAAGTGACATCAGGTTCACTAAGAAGCAGGAATATATTCTTCTCTCTAGCTAAGAGAGCAAACAGGTTTTGCCCACAAAATATCTAGTCAATTCACTTTACAATATATTCTGTGAAGCGCTTTGAGACATCTCAATGAGTGATAAAGTGCTACATTAAATGCAAGGATTATTATTATATGTATTATAAGGTGCAGCAAGACTAATTATAACATATCTATTGCAATTCAGTTGAGATCAGCTAATTTTGCACAAACGAGGCACTAAACCTCAGAGATTTTGGAGTATTTTACACTAGGCAGTGTGTGTGCGTGTGGGGGGGTGGGGGGGAGGTAAGTAGTGTCTCACTGGAACTGAGCTGGCTCCAAGGTGATTTATGTGGCAATGGAATGTAGGAATTGAGTCAAGCCTCGGTAGTCCTATTCTTGAGCCAGGTGGGTTCACAATATTCCAAGACAGTGCTGATGACAGACTAGCCAGCCTGGTTTATTGATAGGACTTGGAGGGGCAGACCAGTTGGTCACTGGAGCAGGAATTCTTCTCAATCCTGCAAACCAAAGCTCCAACATGTTGGATGGTTCCAGTAGGAAGCATGTCAGACGATGCTTTCAATGGCAAGCTCCGTAGTTCTAGTTGGGTAAACTTCAGTAATACCCCAATGCACACTCTGGAGTTCCTAAGCTTTTGCCAACCTGTGGCTAAAATTCTCCAGAATTAGGGTGCGTTCCTCTAGGGAGATAATGAGCATTCCATTTCTAAAGCGAAATTTCCAAGTATAAGTGGCATGCATATGTGAAACTCTCAAAGTTTGGTTTGGCTACTCTTAAGAATGATGAAGGGTTTCTGCATGTGTTAATCACCCATCTGAACAAAAACTTTTTTTTAACAATTGAGGTATCAGAGACACTGAGATTTCAAAACCCTTTGTACTTTCTTGTTAAAATTTCCATTTGAATTTGTTGCAGGGCACGACTTACAGACTGGAAAACCAACAAAATGTCAAATACAGATCTACCGGTGAGATATGGAGATACATACTGTATTTTAACATAAAATAAATCTCAAATCAGCCTTTTGTGTTTGAGGGGAAATGTTCTGCAGGGTCCTGACAACTGTGGGCAATATTCTTGTGTTGAAACATGAATGAGATAAATCAGCCTGCGCTGACAACGTGTTGGTTCATATGGTTATAGGATTTCTTCTCATCTCTTGCAGTGACTTGGAATACATCTAATCGAGCCTCACATGATTCCTTTCAAAAGTGAAAAGATCTCAGTTTTTTACATTTCCTGACGATCTGCTGGAATGCAGAGCTTCAACAACAATAACAACAAATTACATTTGTATTGCTCCTTTCACGTCCAGTGAACATCCCAAGGCACTGGACAGTCAAGGATTTGGACCCGAGCTGGGGGTTAGGATCAATAGGGCAGGGAGGGTAGGGGTAGGAGGATGAGGGTTTTGAACTCTATACTCTGGGGAATGAGGAGCCAGTGGAGCTGGGCGAAGATGGAGCTTCAGTTTCAAAATGATCTCGGGGATTGTGCACTGAATCAATACCTTCTCTCCTTTGCTGGCGTCTACAAGTTTTACAAAAAGATACATTTTTTGCTTGCAATGTTTTGAACCTCAAGTTAGTCAACCTCTTCCAGCAACTAGATGGTATTTTTGGTGTCTGTTTATTGTGACAAAATACATGTCTTCACTCTGCGTTGCCAGGAAATCATGTTGTTCAAGCTGAGAATACGTTTTATTATAATTTCTATCTTACTGGTAATAGCACTGGGGATGTTGCCAGGAAAGCAGTGCACATCCATCTCCAACATTTCTGGATGTGATTAGTTTCCAGGAATGGTACTTTCCACTGCTACTTTTATTCTCTTTATATCAGTGTACTGATAAAAATAGAAACTGCCCGAAATTTATATTTTGCATTTGTAGTTCCCGTTTACCCGCCCCGAACTGTTAAATTCTGTGAGGTGCTTTGAAAGGTTTGATAATGTGAAAACAACAACAACAACT